GTACACGCACGTACACGCAGATACACGCACGTACACGTGGGTACACGTACGTAGACGCGGGTACACGCACGTACACGCACGTACACGCAGATACACGCACGTACACGCGGGTACACGTACGTAGACGCGGGTACACGCACGTACACGCACGTACACGCACGTACACGCGGGTACACGCACGTACACGCAGGTACACGCACGTACACGCACGTACACGCGGGTGCACGTACGTACACGCGGGTACACGTACGTAGACGCGGGTACACGCACGTACACGCACGTACACGCACGTACACGCGGGTACACGCACGTACACGCAGGTACACGCACGTACACGCGGGTACACGCGGATACACGCACGTACACGCGGGTACACGCAAGTACACGCAGATACACGCACGTGCACACAGATACACGCACGTACACGCGGGTACACGCACATGCACGCGGGTACACGCACGTACACGCGGGTACCCGGAGATACACGCACGTACACGCACGTACACGCGGGTACACGCACGTACATACAGGAATCTGATGATGATGATATTTATAGTGATTTACCAGTTGGATATAGGTTTGAGCCTGAATATACACAAGAAGAAATTGAGGAGAATCGTCTGAAAAAGCAACGCGAAGAGTCGGCACACTTCTCGAGAATCAGAACAGTCACAATTCATGGCGGAATGGAAGCTTTGGTACCAGATAGGACTGTAGACAAATACTGGTGTTCTTGTAGTGTTTGTGAATTAATGAGTACGGCACCTGAATGTATATGCTGCCATGAGAATGAGAAGACTTGGGTTATTGTAGACCAGGTGAGTCATGCGAGTACACTGATCACCGGGCTTATCACGCTCGGTCAGAATCACATATGTATCTGTACATGTACAAACATCTCTACGCAAGTCATGTAGACCTACATATACCGTGAATGCATTATCCACACAGGTAATATCAAGAGTAGATAATAACGGTGTTATTATCTACTCTTGGTAATATGTATGTACATGAATATAAGTACATTTACAAGCTACATGTTTGTTGTATGCTGTAACAATACTTTCACCTAGCATAACTATAACATATACTAGCGTGTTAGTACTGTTACGCTATATAATGGCGTGTTTCAACGGGGGGGGGGGCTGTGACGTCACATGACCTAGATTAAAATTCATGTGTTTCTTACAAATTGGGCGCCGGATTTGAAATGGAATACGTAATTGAATGTATTTCTATATGTATAAAAACGTTACAGAAGTTATAAAAATTGACTTCAATTGTCCTTTAAGTTTAGCGGAGCACTCTATGGTGTATATAAAACCCATAAAAATACAAAATTCGCATTAAACTACCATGAAATAAGAGCTTTCGTAATAAAAAAAAATGTCTTGGCTGATTACTATGCATATTATTGCACCTAAAAAAACTTCTCTTAAAAACGTCTTAGCTGTGCAAATGTTAGGAATATGACAAACGTTGTGTTTTTAAATTTATATTAATAGTTTACCATGTATTGTATATATATATCTATATATATGATGGCACGGATTTACGTACGCGATTGTCTGTAAATTGTTTGTAAACTGCATGGTTGTCAGGCAGTCAAGCCCATTAGCACGCACCGTGTTAGCACGCACCGAGTTGCGAGCATGGAACGCGATGATACAGTAATGAGCACGTATACGTACCCCCTAAAACACTTCACTACAATGCATAAGCAACCATTTCGTGTAACTCTCATGGTCAACGCCATAACTGCGAGCACGAATGTGTAGCGAGCATAATGGCAAACTTTTTATTCAATAAAGCTTATAATAGAAAACATGCAAGAAGACATTTGTGCTGAGTGAAAGTGTATCAAAGTAATAGTGTGTGTTGGGAAATATCATGTATAACCGTATAGCATAATGTATAATTGTATCAAGAGCAGATAAAGAAGGAGAGCGCGTACAAGGGTAAAATGCTGAAACCATGCTGCAGTATTAGTCGAATTAATAAACTTTTTCCCGTTTTATTTTGACGATCCTTTGCAGTATTATTGATTAGCTGTCTTACCTTGTTCATATAAAACAAACCGCATGTCCCTACGATGCCCCTACGCTGAGATAATGAGCGGTAAAAATCTGGTATTTTCACCGAAAACCGACTCGAGATCAGTGTTTACTGCGTCCGTCTCTCGAAGTGTTATTACTTCGGGAAACCTCGCGTGTTTTCGTCAATGATTGACAAATGGAATGAATGACGTCTGTTATTGATTGCCATAGTGATGACCCCCACCTGTACCCACCTCACGCCCACCTCACGCTGGATGTATAGTAAACTCTAGTAGTATTCACTACGTGAGTCAGCGCCACTATGGCGCTACACAGCGGCGACCGGAAGCAACACACTGGAAACACTTCGAGAGACGGACGCAGTAAACACTGATCTCGAGTCGGTTTTCGGTTGAAAATCTGGTATTTTCCCGCTCATTATCTCAGCGTAGGGGCATCGTAGGGACATGCGGTTTGTTTTATATGAACAAGGTAAGACAGCTAATCAATAATACCGCAAAGGATCGTCAAAATAAAACGAAAATAAATTTATTAATTCGACTAATACT